CCAGATTTGCATAAACATTTAATTGAATGTGTGTAATATAAACATTTACTTTTGCAGAATATTGGAAGAAATTAATTGAAGAAAATGGCGGCTGGCTTACGCAGAATGATGAGAATGATAGAATCGAATAACATTTCGGAGCAGTAGCTTCAAAATCAGAAGAAAATATTTGTTCTTTGCGCACACTTCAATGCATTTGTTACCGAACTAATTATACATCGTGATTATTAATTTATCGCTAATATGATACTAGAAATCATATGAATTTTAAAGCGCATGCCTGTCAATTTTCTGTATTATTAGTTGCTCGTTAAATTGCAGGTCAAAATGCGCTTTCGTAATTCGTGCAGTCACATGTCCCGCGTTTACTATCGTCACGATAGTAACGTCACTAAAACGATGGCATCAGCTATATTAATAAAGATAAAATGTTACTCGTTGCAGAAACGGGTTTATTTTTTTATGCGACAAGCATTAAAGTATCGCGTGCGATTTCTTTATCAGGAAAGATTTACCGGCGACTTTTACAAAGGTTTAATAATAATAGAATATGTACGGTATAATTTTGTAATACATTTGGTTTTATTTCCTTAAATAAAGCTGCAGGTTTACCAGGCTGTACATAATTTTTCCCTTCACCGCAGAAAGTAAATCGTTTTTCTTCTCTTTCGTTACGCAAAAAATTCTTGCCGGAAGCGCAATACAGAAGAGTGGATGCAAAATTCATATACAAATTTTCTATATATTCTGAAGTTATGTGAATAAGAAGAGGAAGTCGTTTTACTCGCTTGTAACTTAAATATTATTTCATTCTATTGTTTTAACTATAAACATCAGTTATCTTTTACTTATTTTATACGTGCAGCTTGAAAGCAATTATATAACTATAATCTTTTAATATAATTTCAGCTCATACGCATTCCATTTAATAGATTAAAAGTATACTATGATGTAAGGAATTTAAAAATTAATGTGTCTTCGTGTAGTTCATTCTCTCGAGGATAAGTGTCAAGTATCCATCACGTTTATCATACCATGTCTCTACTTCGTAGATGGCGCGATTTCTAGCTACTGAGTCATCACTGACATTATCAAGAGTCCACCAAAGCGCACACGTTGTTCAGCGTCCTATGTACTATCTGCTACTACCTACTGTGTTTATCGTTGGTTGTGCGCGTGTCAGAGCTAGCATTTTCACGACTCGCAGACGCGAGTTCTTCCGCGGTGGATGAAGCTTCTCGCGGTGTTACGATGGCGAACGCAAGTGGCCACAATAATGTAGAGTGTTACGCTTGGCAAAGATTAATCAACGGGGACAAGTTACATGCAGCGACACAGTTGAACGAGACTAAAGAGAACTCCCACAGAACTCCATTGCGGAGATCAGACGCTGGCTCGAGGAGAACGACGATTTGCGCGCCCGAATAAAAACGACGTCAATCCTACGTGATTCATTGAAATCTCGCTTGTGAAATTCAATTGTAGTGCATTAATTTCGAAGCAATAACAACGAAATCCGCGGCGATGTAACATCTGACGTTACATCTGAAACCTATTTGTTTTGCTCGCATAATAAGGAAAAAATAAAAAATAATATAACATATGTAGCGTTTGACTTTGTTAGCGAAATGAGAAGAGAGAGTGATATGAAAGTGTCTCTCTCAATAGATAACAATAGATAATGATAAATAGTGACTCGATAGAAATCTTTTATAATGAAGTCCGTTTATTGTATTTCGCTATTTTTTTTAATTTAAACAAATTTTTGATTAGCGATTGTTTATATTTTTATTTATATATTGAATTAATTGATCAAACAAACAAAAAGAGATATCTATACATTTAGAACACAGAAATATGTATGATATAATATATTTGTTGGTCGCATCTTTTAAGAGAACAGGTAACGACTGTCATACAGATTTGCCACATCGGGTATTTGAATTCGTTATTTGCTGCAGATAGCGCGATTATTACTGATTTATCATAGGAATGATAAGAAATATCATATAGATACCAAAATTAGCAAAGAGTATGCTATCGATATATTGCTTATCCTTAATCGCGCATCGCGCATATATTATAATGCGCCGCGATTTGCAGATGCAAGTTCCGCGTTTGTTATCACGAGCGAAGTCATTGCAACGATAGCTGCGTTGGTTATCAACAAAGACGGGTACGTTGCTGTAGATTCGGGCTATTTCTTTATGCGTTATGCATTCGAGTATTGTGCGTGATTTTTTTCGCTAGGTATATATGGATTTACGGAGAGGTCTTCCCAAAGACTCAACAAGAGACAAGAAAACGCTTTTATAATAGAATGCTCAGTTTTCTTTCACTAAATATAGGTCGCATTTTGTTCAATTGTTTTGCCCTTTTCTAGGTGAACTCGGTAAAGAGAAAGAAATTGTTTCTCTTTTTCTTTCACTGCGCAGAGGGGACTTGAGAGATAATGCATGAGAGCATAATGCGCGGATGTATATGATTAAGTTTTTAATAAAAATTTTCTGTATTCTTAAATTATGTAAATTAGGAGAGATATTTGCTTTATTTACTTTGCAACCTAGAACTAATTTTTTTTAGATTTCGTTTTACTTCTTTAACTAAATGTAAATGTTAGACATACATTTTAATTTTATACGCAGAATTTATAAGTAATAATATGACTATAATGTTTCAATTTTATTTTTTTTACGTATTTTATTTAAAAGTTCAAATGCGTGCTACAGTGTGAAGAATTTAGAAATTAAAGTTTCTTCGCGGCTTATCCTCTCGAAAATGGATATCAAACATCCATCCCATTTACCAAACCGGATCCGTAATTGTTCGCTGCAGATGGCGCATATAATATGCATCAGTGAACCAGACTTTATCAAAGAGCACGTAGATTCCAAAGGGCATGTTTTTGTGTACTGTTTATATATTCGCGTTTATATATATTGCCTGTTGATCGCGTCTAGTGTTGATCGCGCGTCGTTCGTTACAGAGTGCGTGTCTGTACATTGTACATACACGCAGTGTCTCTTCGCGGTGACGGGACTCCGCGAGACGTTCATTAGCGTTCACTGTCGTCGTGATGGCGAGCAGTTCCAGTGACAGCGTCATGCATCACGCTCGGCAAGAGCTGACCAGTGAGGATAAAAGATATGCAGCGGCACATTTGAACGAGACCGACGAGAATAGAGAGAACGCCATCGCGGAGATCAGACGCTGGATCGAGGAGAACGATGACTTGTCTACACGAATTGGTAAAAATGATTGTGATCATGTGAGGCAGGCTCGTTAAAATATCTGTCGATGTTCAATTACATATTAATTCCGGAGTAATAAAACGAAATTACTTTTAATGGGCGCCAACGTGATGTCAGTTTAATACTTAGCTCTTTGAATTTGTTTTTGGTCGCGCATTAATACAAAGAAAAGAGGATAACTTTTGATTCTTTTGAAAAGAAAAGAAACGCGTTCTTAAAGTCTCATAAATAATTGTAAATAATCTTAAATAGTGACTTGATGGAAAATTTATACGATAAAATTCGTTATCGTTATTGCATTTGAGTATTTTTTGAACAAGTCTTTCGATCGATTTTTTTTTTAAATATCTTAAATAGTCGAGGAAGCAAGAATGTGTATTTAAATATATTTAAAACATAAAAATGTGTATTTGTATAAAACATGTATGTATTTTGATACAATAATTTGCAATTAATATTAAAATAGAACTTCAAGAACAGAGAATTTTAACAAAAAAATTGTTACAGTTTAGAGACATATATCATCATGATTAAGTAAGTCTTAGAATTTCCACAACATATGTCATGCGCATATTCCTGCTTTGCTGTCTAATTAATAGATAATTCCTTAACAATGGTTTTGTCTTCATATTTGATTCATGACGTATCCGAGATGTATCACGCAATTCTTCTATGTTAACTAGGGCATAATAATATGTGCAATACGTGCATATCATGTATCGGAAAATTAATTTCTTGTATAATAAATTTTTTCAATACATTATTAATATACAAATATAAACATTATATATTTTATTTTTAATGAAAGAACCGGTCAAAATTTATCTCATTTGCAGGACCATTCCAATTTATCATTCCGATTTATTATTCCAATTTATCATTCCAATTTATTTTTGTATGAGTATCTTCAGATAATTAAAATGTTCCTAATTTTCACATTCACACATAAGTTATTATATAAATTATTTTAGTTATGTTTTGAGGATTGAGTCGAAAGTTCGAATAGCAAAATGTCAAGGTATGATAACAGAGAGCTCCAGAAAAAAATTGAATAGAATTGTCCCCTAATCAGCAGAGATCACGCGACCTAAATAATTATGCCCATTATACATCAATTATCTTTCATTCAACTTAATTGACACTCGATTTATTATTGAACTAATTTTCTTTACCGGTTTATTATGTTTAACTATTGTATTATTATAAATTAAAATGAGATGTCTAATTGTTTGTATTGTTTTAATAATTGTACCTTAATTACTAAAATAATATACAGGTACAGAAACTTAGAATGTTATAGCTTTTTGAAAATGTATGCAAAAACTAGTAATTATTAGTATCTACTCAATAGCAAATTTCGATAGCTTATTCCATTAAAAATATAGAATATATAATATACATTTATATTAACTTATTTGTTATTAATGTTACATCTACTATTAATTTATATTGTTACTTTGTAGTGTAAATAGCTTCACCACAAAGATCGCTTCATTATATCGATCCACTATAAATATCGATTGACAAAGATTAAAATTTAATGATTATATAAACGAATTTATTCGTAAAAAATAAAGAATCAAAATAATTTAATTAACATATTTTACGTAAATGTGAAATTAACATATTATGTAAAATATGTTGATTAAATTATTTGGATTACATATTCTGTAAAGGCCAATTAAAAATAAAGTAAAATATTCTAACATTAAAAACTCAATCAAGATTGCAATAAACTCAGATATAATTATACACCATGAACAAATTAAGTTCATGCGAGTGACGCTATCATTATGCATGCACAGCAATTACATTGTCAATTTCCATATATAACTTATCTGATTATTACTTTTTATTATTCAACTGTGCTTACAACTCTTGAATTTTTTAGTCGATATTGCATCAGTCTTTCATTAAATTGCAATTCATTAATTTGAATATCTAACTACTTACTTTTTATGCACCTTGACTTCTGTACATATATGTAAAGTTCAATACTTTGATTATATACCATTTTAGACAAGAGATGTGAAACTTAATTGCTACATTTGTACAGAATATCTGTTCAAACAGAATTAAGTAAAACATGAAAAAATATATAACTAAATTTAAAAATATGATTAAATTTAAATACGACTAAATTGATATTAAATAAATTGGAATATAACAAAATTAATAACTAAATTTAATTCCATTAAAGGCAGAAGTTATTGTAAAATGATTAAACAATAATTTTTTTTTGTTTCTTAGAATGTAGCATAATAAAACAGATCTTTAATGTTTTCTGTTAAAAAGATAATAGAATTTATTCCTGAAATTACTGCTCTATGTATATATTTCTCATATTAATGATAATAGATTTAGTACTATTTTAAGTAACTTTTCATTTGAAAGGAATCTTTAATCTGTACACAGATGACTTCCTTATCCTGCGATTTTTGAGAGTCTGCAAGTTTAATCTCGACAAAACTAAAATCAGGATACAAAACTATTACAAGCAGCGATCATACTTACCAGAATGGTACATGAATAAAGATCCATTTCGACCGGAACTGCAGGAACTACTTGATTTAGGGTAAGGACCATTATTTCGGAGTATTAATTGAATTTTGTGAGTTTTTTTATTCTCTAATTTATTTTAACTATTTTGTATGCATAGCAGAACACTTCACAAACTGCAATTTCAATTTTAATAACAACTTGCATAAAATTACAGATAAATTTTCAATAACTTTCTTTTCTTATTTCTACACTGAGAAAAAAATGTCATTAATTTGACTAAACTCGTTTAGTTGTAGTGATTTGTTTAATGCAAATATTAATATATTTAAATCAAATATACGTGAGTAATATTAAGAAATTCTGAATTTATTTCAATATAATATTTTTTGAATTAACAAATGTTAGCTTGACAGCCCGTGACCGCTGCATTTAGTTAAATCAAATAATATTTCTTTGAATCAACGATTTTTTTTTCTCAGTGTATTACATTCTAAGAAAAATATTTAATTAAGAAATTTCGGAAATATACTAGATGCATGACTGTAAAACTGAAAGGTATTTTAATTTTTTCAAAAGATTCTAAAATACTTTATTCCCGTTTAGAGTGTTTTTGCCTTTGCGGAAGCCGGATAGTGAAGGAAGATTAGTTATTGTGGTGCGCGGCACTCGGCATAATCCAAGAAGACACAATATATCAGACATAGTTAAGGTAAATATTAAAATAATACAATGTTCGAACAATTTATGGCCAACGTCGTTACGCTGAAGTATTTTTTTTATTGTTATTTATTATTTCTCGACGGACGATTTTTTTAGATCGGTGTGATGGCGACGGAAGTGGCGACGAAAGATTACACCCTGGCGTCGGTACGTGGCTACTCGGTGTTCATTGATGTAGCTAATCCAACTATGCGTCATGCTGTTCAATTGCGACCCCAAATAATAATGAATTTGGTCCACGCGTGGCAAAGCTGCTATCCTTTGAGGACCCATTCGATAAACATAATCAACGCGCCCGATTATGTCGATATTGTTTTGAGAATTTTCAAATCTTTCATGTCTGAGAAGATGAAGAACAGATTGTTCGTTTACACACAGAGGACGATGCAAAACTGTTTTGAGGGCGTCCCAGCTAACATCTTGCCCGTCGAATATGGTGGTACCGATTGTACATTTCGAGAATTAACAGGTAATTAATGGTAAATTAAAAAAAAAACAGTACAAAATTGAAGCGTTTACTTGATGATAAAGAATGTTTCTTATTAAGCAAGTATTGCCGAAGAAATGAACTTTTTGCAGTTAAGACCAATCGTTTAGGCAACAATTATTAAATGTTTGCTAAGATAGTTCATCGGATATGAAATATATTTATGTACATTAAGTGTGTAAATTCTCATATATTCAATCATATAACTTGATATGTATATGTAAAATACAAATATTTTTCTTTTGCAGAATATTGGAAGAAATTAATCGAGGAAAATCGCGACTGGCTTATGGATGATGAGAAGAACAACACAGCTATTTCAAAGCAATAGTTTTATCGACAAAATATGCTTTTAATATACTCTTGGATATTTATTATCAAATATAGGTTGCACTATCTCTGCGAATTTTGTGAGAAAAGAAATAATTACTCTGTCCACTTTGCACTTAGAGCCCTAGTCTATTTGATTTCTTATATGATCTCTGCATTTTAATTTACACGTATAATCGATATGTGCAGACAATAATACACATAATAACTATACAAATAATAATATAACTATATGCGTTTATATCAAAATATGTTTTTATATATGTATGTATTTTATTTAAAATATTGGTATTGCGTTTTTGACGCATCTTCTAAACTTCTAAAAAACCATTGTACATGTAGATTTGCTACAGCGAATTTCTGAATTTATTATCTGCTGCACGTGGATCAGTTATTAAATATGATTTATCGCAAAAATGATAGCAAAGATTATATAGATTCCAAAGGGCATGCTATCAATCTCGTTTATCGTTGACAACACATGTACGTTACAATGCGCCTTCGGTAGATTTGGAGAGGAATTTGTAGAGCAAATTCGGCGCTTAGTATTATTACTATTATTACATGCGTTCGCGTAATGATATGCGCGCTAGAAGAATAAATATATAATAATACATTGGAACGAGACTAGAAGGTCATCGCAGAGATCAAATGCTGATTAGATAAAAATGTCAGCGGTAGTTCTACGTAGCAGGCGCGTTAAAATGTTGCTTGATGAAATTCAGTTGCAGTTTATTAACAAGTCGATTAACTTTATCAACGCACCGGGAATTTTGATGTAATTTGTCGATTGTCGAATCTATCGATTTTTTAAATATTCATGAACAGCGGAGCTGAAAAATAAATTGCGTATCTTATACACGATGCAAAATAATTTCGCAGATACTTCAGCTGTCTTGTTGATCAAATATAGATGACGCTCTCTGAGGATATATTATTAGGAATTGAAATAGGTAATTGCAGAATAGAGCGATGCGCAATTGTTAGTAGACAGTCGAGCGAATGCTTCTTATTAACCCAAAAGTTGCAAAAAAAAAAAATAATCCTTTCCGTAGTTAAGATTGCAACAATACAGACAATTGCCTAAACAACATTTGTTAATAATTCATGATTTCTATATATGTCTGTATGTGAGCTAATTTTATGTAAATTATGTATTGGAAGAAAGTGATCAAGGAAAATCGTAAAAATCAACGACGAAAAATACAAGATAATTTCGGAGCATTAATTTAGAGATAAATCGCGATCCAATTAATCCGCATATAGATTACGTGAAACTGATAGGGCGAGCGAAAAAAAAGTAGCAGTTATATATTGTAATATGTCGAGACAATGATAATAGAGTAACTTTCTGTGAAAAGATATATGTACATATATATGAGTTTCATGTCTTTTTTATATATAAGTAAAATACAATACATTTTTGCATGTTGTCGAGTTTTCTCTTGGCGTCGCCCATTTTCGTTGACAATTTTTTCGCTAATTAACAAATGCCCGATGGCATGCAGTTTCCTTTGTTGACAGCACGATGCAATGATCCGCATAAATTGCACTTTATGGACGATCACAGTACTATAATTTATTCATACATAAAATATCAAATATATATTATGATCAAAAATCGCAGCATACACGTACATAAATCTGCGTTGCTTGTTATTTTTTGGTGATTAAATTATTATTTATATAATTTATATTTTATACGTCACTGAAATGATTGCCACGTATGGCAGATAACATTTGTTGATATAAATGTTATCGTAGTTCACGAGCTGTTATCAGGTCATTATGAACTAACGAACGATAAGAATTTTCGACACTGCGTCGTAATTCTTACTTGTTCATCTCATGTATACCTATAAATATACACGTCGAAAACGCATGCAAAATAATAATGATATAAGAAGTATTATAATTTTTTGAACGCGCGGTACTGTCGGTTTTTTTTTTTTAATTCTTTCTACGTCCGATATCGTTGCGAGTTAAATAAAATACGTACATACTTAAAGTCATGGGCAAGTAGAATCGCGCTATACGTTTAACCAGCTATTACATATTAATTTACGTAAAACTTACTAACTACGATCCCATTTTAATCCCGGGATGATGTTTTACCAGGTTCCCTTCACCGTGCCAGATCTCCAACAAATGGCTTCGTAAAGGTATCGCACCTGGTTTATGATCGCCAATGAGGATTACATGCGGTCCAGCGAGGGTATAGGCATCGCTTATTATTGTCCACGATGCACGCGACGGAATTCTTAATAATTACGAGCGCATAAATTTCTATTCGCGATATTCCGGGCGTGAATAGACACGATGAGGGGGAATTATTGGCCGCGTTCAACAGAACTGCTGAGTTGTCGTCTTATCAACACGCCACGTTGATTTGTTGATTCTAAAAGTAAGAGTCAATCACATTCGACTGCTCTTCGATTGCGGCTTGTTCTGTTGAACGCGTCCATTGTTCCTAATATATTTCGCGCGACACGCACAGTACTGTCAAACGCATTTTCACTATTTCTATTTTCGCCGAATTACTTAATCACGATCCTTCGTGAAAAAAAAGAAAAACGAATTAAGCACAAGCAGGAGCAGAGTTTATTCGTTCGAGGTGTCGCGTGGTGAAGCACTTTAGTCTGCGAGTTTTCTTTTCTCTGCGGCACGATTTTATAAAATACTTTAGTTTATATGTAAAAATAAACCAACTCTCACCTTTGTTTATATTAGAAAATTATATTATTATTGCGAAGATAAATTAATATTATGCGTTTTCAAAATCATTCGGGACGTATGTTATATTGTTTGCAATCTCTGCGCATGATAAACGCTTTCCGCATTGAAGTTAACTTCGACAGAAATGTCGCTATATAAGTCGTGTAAATGGAAAGCGCCGATTCTGTTTCCCTCGATCGCGATCCTCGAGAAGATCGGTTCGTATAGGGAGAATCCTGGCGGTATCCTCGGGCATCCGCGCAAATTTTTTTTTACAGACGCCGGATAAAAATATGATTCCTATAAACAAGACGCACGAGGCAAACGCGGCAGTCTCACGCATCTTATCATCATCGTATTACATTTATTCGAGAGTTCCCATTACGCACACCAACACATACACATCACATATACGCATAACACAGACATACATACGCGCCTTGCACGCGCGACACGTGAGCCTTAGAAGCACATTGAGCGCACGCAGCAGGAGCATCACATGTATCGGAGGTCCATTCGCGGCGGAGAATGTTGCGAGATCGTCGACATTTGGAATCCGAAGCCGATCTATCGAGATCCAGGAATGCTTTATACTGCCGCCGGGCGATTGAGCGATGGCAGTCGATTTCTTGAATAGAGGATATGTTACGCAACGTTCCTAGATAGAAGGACCCTTCTTGGATTGCGGAATTTCTTCTCGGCCACCGACATCCAATTGCATCTACATTCTCCGCTAATTCTGTACGATTTCTAACTAATGCTCCGTTAAATTTGACCCCAGCTATAATACAGCTATGAAACAGGTAAAGAAAGAAGAGTAGTGTCCTCGATGGATCACTTCGCTCTCGGGTGGAGAGACGCGAGTCCCGAATCGCGACATCCATCGAACACACCATTCGCCATCGATTCCCGATTCAATTCGTTCCTCTACGGGGAACATTCGCTCCCTGATTCAGAGCTCTTTCTCTCTCTCTCTTTCTCTTTCTTTCTTTCTTTTTCGTCTATCCGTCGCGGAATGTTCGCGAGTCACTGTACACCGAATACAGTCTGGACGGTGGGCGGAAGTTACGAGCTATCCTTATCCGCGCTTGAACTTCAGCACCAGCAAGCTTATCGTGAGGAACACGATGATCCAGATGATGGTAGAGATGTAACCGTTGTAAACATTCGGCTCCGTGATGCTCCAGCCGCGGGTCAGCATGGACCGCAGGGCGGTCGTCGCCATCGTCAGTGGCAGACCTTGCGAGATGTATCGCAGGACCGTCGGCATGCCCTCCACCGGCCATATTACACCTGCAAAACGGAATAATCGTAAACGTGGAATAGAGTTCGCTGAATGTATCTTTTTTTATTCATTTTGCGTTTAACTTTTCTCAATTCGATTTAACTTTTGCGGCAGAGCAAATCTCTATTTTTAATTCTCTCATTTATAAAGTAGGTCCGTACAAGACTCGAGTCTTGTATGGGCGCTTGAAATATTTAGAATATTAAATTTACGCTTCAGAGAGAGAGAGAGGGAGAAGAATGCAGAGCGATCTGAACAGTTTGTCCAACGATTCGATTAGGGCACGGCACGCGCGAGTATTGGCCGACTTTCACTTCTGGTGATGGCAAGGACTTCAGCGCGTGACATTTAGATCGAAATGATCGTCTAATGTAACAACGATGGACCCGATTAAATTCGTTGAATACGGGATGATTGCCATGTTTATTTTACAGCGATACGATATCAAGCGCATATTCAATCTGATTGATAAAAGCAACTGATATGAAAATCGCGTAGATCTGTTTTAATTCTCGCGCAAGTTTCATACATAATCATAATTGTTAGATGCAAACGAAAGCCTTAAAATATTCCGAATGTGCTTATCTTTCTCATCAAACTGTGATTTCATCACTGTGATATATTTCATACATACCACTGAGAAGAAGCGTAGGATAGAAGCTGCCTAGAGCCAGTTGGATGGCATTCCTTTCGAGTTCGCAAATCGCCGAAATCACGAACCCTGCGAGAAGTAGAAAAATCTGGATAATATTGCATCTTTTGCCTTCTAATTATCAAAATTTGCCCGTTCAAAGAGCAAGGAAATTGCGTATCTTTTATTTATACTTTGAAACATCTTTCTTAAAAATTCTTGATTATTATTATTATAATATATTAATTAAAATTATTTTATTATTATTATTATTTAATATTATTTTAACGGATACATTGCGGTGAATGAGAAGCCCTCCTCGCTCTTACCGAAGCACATGCCGCAGAGGCCTTGAAGGATCGTCAGTATGATAACCCAGCCGATGTCGCCCTTGCATTCGACGCCGAACACCAGGATCATGAAGATCAGTACTAGAGCCGTCTGACCGCACATCACCACGAATTGCGTGACCACGTGGGAAAACAGGATCTCGCCGGGCGACACACCAGCCACCCAGCTTCGATCCAGCAGACCCTCCATCCTCTCGATAATCAGCGCCGATGACGTTAGCGCGACCGCCAGGAAGAAAACGATGCTGTCAACAGAAGTCAACTTTGCAAAACTCTACGTCGTAGAAAAGATTTTTTTAAGTGTTTGGCGCAAGAGATAGAAAGAGATTAAATTTTATAAAGTGCCTTGGATTTCTATTGAAAAGATCTTGGACTTTTCGAGAATAAAGAATAAAAGTAAATCCAGAATCTAATTATAAATAAATATTAATGAACTTGAGACTATAAATTGAATATTAATAAATAACTTACGTCAATATTACACCCGGGGCCACGAAGTCCGTAAAGCTCGGCTCGTTGGTACCGTAAATGGGGTCCTTGAATTGAATTGGCACGTCAGCCAGTTTTGCGTTCTGCCCGCAGGCCGATAAAAGGTCCTTGGCAAAATCTCTATACGAATATTGAAGATTTCTCGCCAGCATCAGGCCCACTTGTTGATCTAAAATAGTAAAATTTTTTATAGCGTGCATTCTAAGCAAATGTGGCCATTATAGCCACGTCTATATGGACACGTCTATGTAAATCACGCCCATGAATCAATCACGCGTCGATAAATAGCAAATGCTTTGGTAAAGCTATACACGTGCGAAAAAAAAATAATATTTGATTGTCAGACTTAGTTATGGCACCATAAAAAAATTAAAAAAGTACGATACGGATTAAATAACACGACTCAAAGGTAAAACTTAACAAATTTATTGATGCGGAAATATATTTTGTTAAAAATAATACTTATATATAAATAAACTAATAAATGCTGGATAAAAAATTCGGCACGAGGGGTGAATAAAATATTTGAGATAAATTTGAGCCACAATTAAGCTTGACAATGTTATTATCTAATAATTATTAACTAGAGATATTTACTAGACATATCCAGCCAAACTCTGATTTCGCTCTGATCAAGGGTCTCGTCATCGGAATCCCTTCCCAAGGCCATCCTCGCCACGAGGGCGTCCGTGAAGTTTTCCGTAAAGTACAAAGTGCCCCAAGCTTCTCCTCTGCGTACCGCTTCCATCGCCGAGTCCGGATCCGGATAGTATTCCTGCAACAGAAAATGAAATTAAATAAAAAAAAGCGAAAGTCGCACATTAATTTCTATACTTAATTTAGAATTATATTAATTATCACCTCGTTTACACTTATTGTGTAGTGTACTATGTATAATGTATTATATCGTTACGTTATATTGCATTATATAAGATATCATGTATATTTATTATATATTTTTATGTAATAATTAAGACCTTTATCATCGTCTCGTTATCCAGGAAGTGGAGATATCGACAACTGAGAAACGTGAAACTGCAGTTCGTCGAAACCGGGCACGACATGTTCTCGTAAAACATCTCGTGGTTCACTATGGCCAGTTTCAGTCCCGTGGGATCTCTCCCGATCGCCAGGCAGAAGAGGATCACTTGCATCACCGGCAGGGCGAAGATGAACAGCATCACGCTATGCATGAAAATGAATTGTTGCGCAAGCTATTTCAGTATAATCAAGCAGTCACTCATTTAGCAGCCGCTTCATAAAATTCAAATTTATTTGTGTATTTATGTGTGTGAATCTTTCAACAGGAATGTTTTAACGACATCAGGAACAGTAAAGTCATTACGGAATTTATAATATTATTATGCCACTGACTATTCTATTAATAACGTACCCGATGTTCCGCCACATGCGTAAGAAATTCTTCTGCAGAAGCGCTTTAATCTTGCCCCAACTGGTGACCTTATAACAATCCGTGAAGTCGCCGCAGTCGTCGCACTCGAGGACAGAACTGGCTTTCGCACTCGGCAGCGGTTTGCCGTTTATCTGTTTTGCGAAATCATCGTTACATGTATTAAAATAATTGCATATGATCAACAACAAAATGTTACAATAATAATTTTTAGAGTTTTATTTTGAAATTATATAATTTTCTTATTTAGCTCCTTGGTTGAGAAGCGTTCGAGCTATGATGCACGTCTTCTTCAGGAACGATTAATATAGCTATTAATATTGATCGTAATAAAAGAGAAAAATAATAAATTATCACTTTTAATCTAATATATTATTTTTACACATTAAAGTGTGAAGATCACTGAGTGGGGGGTGCCGAGTTTTAATAAATTGCAACGACACAAAGAATACTCGCATGCCCGGGATAAACGTAAAAACGAAAAAAGCCCGCGTGTGTGCATCGCCGACTTTAAGTGGCCTTAATCTGTCGTGGGATTTGCATCGGAGTAATCTCTTACATCATAATGATTTGCTATTCCATTGGTAGAGTCGTAGATCAGGACCTCTTTGCTTTGGTGGAAGTTGAGGCCGACAACGCCGGACTCCTCTGTCACGTATACCGGCTCGTCTTTTTTCCCCCAGTTTAAAGAAGCCTGTGCGCAAAGAAAAAGAAGCGTGGCCGGTGGCAATAAAACGTGATATTTAATTAATGCAAAAACAATGCAAGATTGGCTACGGAACGGATAAATAATTTTTTGCACTAACATGACACACATTTTGAATACACATAATCACGCGTATCAGTTGATTAGACGAAGTGATAATATTCGATAGATAGTGCAATGTATTTTATGATGTAATGTTTTATTATGTATTAAAATTGACATATAATGTAGCATAACAAGTAGACGTAAAAATTCAGAAATAAGAAACTGAAAAAAAATCTTAATAGAAGCTAAAATTAAAAAGCTATTAAACTCTCAAATGATAAATTAATGGCAGCATCGATGATTATGAAATATTTAAATTGACAACAGTATTATAGAAGTGGCTAGTACTACTGTACAATAGAGACAACGCAATTACTTTCATTCAAGTTGATTGCCTCTTACATTGTGCAACGTGCCGAACTCGTTAATCTTAAATTTGCGAAACAATGCTATTGATAAGTGTCAAAATGTTTTTTATTTCTGAAATTTTTTGCTTACCAAGCTGATGTTGTTCGAGATATTCAGTTCTGTCGGCGGTTGAGCATATTGTCCTTGCTTTCTGGAAAGTTTCAGAAAGACCTCTTCGAGAGAGGAGCAGTTGTACATTTGCAAGAGAGTTCTGGGTGCCTCCTCGGCCAACAATCGGCCACTCCTCATCAAACCGATCTGTTAACAAAATCATTATTTTTTATTGTCTTTTTTAGTGTCTTTATTATTTATTAATTGATGCGCAAATAAAAATCGATTGTTTTAAAAAATTAAATTTACAGTTCCGTTCTCAAGACGAAAGCCTTGAAGCCATAGCACACGTTGGAAGTTTCCATAAGAATTTGATTTAAGAAGAATTTAAATTTAAATTTAATTAAATTTTGTTATCTGAGGAATTTTAATACTCATACTAATTAATAAATGAAAGACGCATATTTTTCAGAGTCTCCGATTTAACTGTGAGTTTTAGCCGGGAAGAAAAAATAAATAAATCGAAAAAGGTAATCTTCCTACGATGAAAGCGTGAAGCATATTCTATTATGATATTTATCCTGAGATACGCGAACTGCCGGCAAAAAAATCGAGATTGCACTCTTTGCACTGTAATTTATGCCTGGCGTAATATGCAGGCGGAATAACTAGCCAATGGCATGATAATGACATGCAATCGACCAACAAACGTTAATCGTTGGCTGGATTCGTTATTAATGCGGCGCGATTTGTGCCTATCGAGATCGTTATGCTGGAGTTATTTAATAATCGTTCCTTCGAATATATAAAGTCAGACACTTACACTAACATTGACTAATTTTAATCATGATTTTTGATCGCCATTTTTATGTCGGAAGGAGAGAAATCACAATTATCTCAAGATTAAAATTAATTGATATTGTCGAAATCGACGTTCAGTTAAACAAAGAGGACGACGATATTACCGTGTGCGCTTGTCGGGCTTCTTCGATGTAGTGAGTCGTTATGATGACCGTCTTGTTACCATCTTTAGTAATTTGAACCAGGTGATTCCATATGCTGGAAAATAAAAGAAAAAAAAGCCATATTTTAATTACGCGTGTTCAAGCCAAATAATACACATTTATATGAAAAACACGTTTTTTAAACATATATAAGAAAACAAACAAATGTGTATATATTTGCATAAATTAAGAGAGAGATTAAAGTTAAACACACGCCTATAATATAATAAAATGTGTAAGAAAATATGCAAGAACGTTTTGCAGAGTCATCGCAGAGTTTCCGCGACAGATTCCAATCATGATCATTCTATATACGATTGGGGACTCTGCGATCATCATTCGCAACGTGATCGGTATATGTACGCGTATGTATGCACACGCGTATATGCTCTTGTGAGTGTGCGCACATGAGACTCGGTATTATTTATGCAGTATCTCGCGCTCGCCGCAATTCTCGCGCTGACTTCTTGACTTTTTTGATACCTTGAACCTTGTAACACCGGACTAAAAACGCCGGCAGGACTTTTACATATTCAACAGGCGAAGGATGCATTATCGCGCGGAAGAACATAAAAATAACATGGCGCGGAATCTTGTAGAATCATGTGCGAAAGCGAGAATTCAACTTTTCGCGAACGGGCTAATTTTTCGAGCTAACCGCTGCGATACAATGTCGAGATCAGTCGACAATTTACAAAACTAGACCGTAACAAAGTAAAAGTCGAAAGTAGCTAGCTGTGCTCGATGTAGAGACGTTTGCATTACTATGTATATTATTAAAATTAAATATCGACATGTATATTTTTTAAAAAATTATTAACTTTTTCACGCACAAGAATAATTTATTTAAGAGTTAGAGGTAATTAAAATAATTGATATAGTAAAAAAATTTTACAGATACAAATTTTTTAGTGATCGATCTACTTTATGAAACTTTATGTATAATGCTATTATATATATTGTATTAGCATATTAACGTTCTTATTTTTTAAAAATAACGTTAAAAATTGAGTATGGAAATTAATGAATCGTAAAAAGATCAGTTACACTATGCAGTTAATATAATCCAACGAGTAATTAGAAATTCGATCGTCAATCCGGAGAAGCGAGATAATTGATGATTAATTAATTCAAATTGTAATGTATATTAGAAGCGCGGAACACATAGAAATGCGATTAAGTTGAAAGTGAGTTATGACTTTCCTAGTCCTATTCTCCTGGAAAGCGATCGGGTCCATAAACTTTCCGCGAGACAATTGTGCACGATCGAGGAGTAAGAGAAGTGTGAGCTGAGATGTAAACGATCGTAACAAAGCTGTAAACTTTCTCAGATAATGGGCGAAGCGCTTGAAGCTCTTGTTTTAATGCCGCTCAAGTAATAGCATTCTTTATTTCTTCCGTGTGTGAAATTTATTTGCCTCGGCAACAGTTATGAAAAGGGTGGCGATCACTGTACTATAAAATAAATAAAAAATATTGTACTATAATAAAACGCCAATAAATTCGACGCTTATGAGTACCTAACTGGACGCATAGAGGTTCCTAAACGTTTGCACGAGTTTTATTTCTGTTTCATTTGCGTCACGTATAAATGTGGTCAGGAAATTTTCTACGCACCGGGGGGAAACATCGCATTACCGGAAGCGAAACGTAGAAGATGACAACAATGTGGTGATTACGGTAATTGATTTCCCGTTGTAAAAGCAGAATATCATTGTGGAAAGCTTCTCGGTTAATTATCCGCTTCATTCGTCTCGCGAATGAAAGCGATAAATTTTCTTCTGCGTGAACAAGCTTCGTTCATTTTCACAATCGGAAACAAAACGTTACGTAAAAATAGATTTCGCAAATTCTTCTATTAATAATTTACTGTACTTGTAGAACGTAGATTAATCCAGAATGAATCCATTTTGGCATTTACTTTAATGAGATTCGTGTTTTCAAAAATACTTTTCTAAAACCCATTTACTGTACCTTATTTTTTATGAATTTGCGCTTTATACCTGATATTATTTAAATATTTATAAGCTAGCAGCCTTGTTACAGTTAAATGCTTGACATTATTGCTCGGAGCTCCTCAATTTTACATAAATGTACATACATATTTGTATTTCGACACGTATAATTATTTATTGTAATTTTATGTCAAAAGAACAGTAATTGTACGACAAAACTTACTATGACTGCATGACCATCACGGTCATTATAAGGAGATTTAAAACCGATCGATATTATTTTAGAAGTCAAGGTCCTACATTCAAAGATAGACTTGAACATTTTGAGAAATTTCTTTGCAAACGCAAGCACTAGCCAGGATCTTAAAATCTTAAATCTTATTTGTCGATAGAACTTCAAGTTCGCGTCATTCGATTCGTTTTATCGTAGATAATTACAAGCTTTTGTTATTTAACTCGAATTTCGAGTGATTTGACGACGGATAGAAACGGAAAGAGGCCACGTGAGAAACTACAAGAGGTGCGTTTCGACAAGTTTCATTCTTTTTTTTTTTTACTTATTCGTCGTTCGTCGTCCAGGCCCGTGTGCGGGCGACTACTTTCACTTAAAGTCAAGCTTAAAGCGTGACTTACGGATTCAGTGCATTGGTCACGGGTCCGCTGGTATGCGCGACTCAATCGCGATTTAGATTGTCAGCGAAAATGCGAACGAGAATTCTCGTCGTTCTAGAAAAAAAGTTGTAAAATAACAAAAACATTAAGAAACTCTTAAAAAATCTTTATATGTATAGGAAGTAATACTTTGCAGCACCTGTCTAAATAATTAAGCGTTGAAAATGATAATAATAATAATATTAATTTGGAGAAGAATATTTAGAAAATAATTTAAATTTATACCAGACACTTTGCCCATAAATTATTTATCCGGGCCTTTCACTTAATACCAACAATATCGAATTTATCACATTCATGTTATCGTGTCATTAGCGACACGTGTATGCTTTAACGACTGAAAAAGTAAGCAAAAGATTCACTTAGTGCGGTCGTGGTTTATCACGTTGACTGGTTATTTCATAATCTCATGAATAATTACTGTATTTCGACACAGAATTAAGTCAGCTGCTAATACTCGCCAAGCTGTATGATAACGGCTGTTTAAGACACGATTTCATGACTAAAGTTTATTTAAAACGTAAAAGAGAGATCACCTTTGTCTTAACAATGGGTCCACACCTACGGTCGGCTCGTCCAGGATCAGCAATTCCGGATCGTGCATGAGAGCCACTGCGAAAGATACTCGTCTTTGTTGACCGCCACTAGCATGAAAAAAAAAACACTCGATATTAATTCATTAATTAATGTACAGCAAGAATTTTGTTATCCACTAAGCGAAATCAAGAAACGCGTTAGCGCGTCTCGCGCTAATAATATATATTTTTCGTAAAGTGCTTTTATGAGTGAGACGGTCCAGCGCATCCTTACGAAAGAACGAGAACGCTCTTCTAAAAATAAATCGCTGTTTAATATTTATATTTTCGTAATTATTCTGTTTGTGAAGATGTCAGACGACAAACATAAACATGTAAATAGATATCTCCTGAAAAAAGAAAGAAAATGTGTTAAAAAGTGGAATCGCACAAACTGAACAAAGTCTCTTTTTCTAGAATGTAAAGTCGAATCGGCTGGGAAATAGAGATACGCGGTTCTTTTTCTTCGAAGAAAATATATACTTTCAACGAAGACTAGCAAATTTTTGCAAATATGTTTTTACGAATCCGAGATCTTGTTGCGGTTTTTTAACACGCTGATACAATAGGGAATTAACCGGTTCCGCTTGCGTGGTCGCGGGTGCGAAAAATCCATACCTGAGATTCTTCACCAAACGATTCTGCGAAGGCAGATCAAGAAACTGCAGCAAGAAACGCAGCCTCTCGACGATCTCGGCTGTGCACATTCCGAATATCCAGCCGAAGTACATCATGGTCTCGCGGATGGTGAACTCGCCGTAGAGAGCGGTCTCCTGCGGCATGTATCCGACCCTTTTCCCAGGCACCCCGGAGCCCTTCGTCCCGGGTTTGCCGCCCAGTACCCAGATCTCGCCTGAATTTAATCTCCTCCGGCCGACGATGCAAGATAACAGGGTAGTTTTGCCGCATCCGCTGGCACCCAGTAACCCGTATCTATAATACAAATAATTTGTAACAATTTATTTTGACAGCAACGATCGCGCTGAGCTGGATTCAGACCGAACGAGCAAGTGCGAAACAAAAAAAAAACATGATAAATTTCAATTCGGCTTTAGACCGTAAAAGAACATAACAAAATTACAACTTAAGAGGATATCTCGATATTTAAGAAACTTTGCCAAGTAGGAAATGCGCTCGGAACACCTTATATAAGAGATCGATCTTCACGAGAAAACAAGTTAGCTGATGAGAAATATGTTTATATGTATATGTATATCCCAGGGGCTTTACTTTAGTCTTCGAGACCGTCTCTGAATGAACAGACAAATCAATTCATACAAAAGAGCGTCATTTACATTTGTAATTTTCATCAGAATGCTAATGAAAGCGTAGTTATAGTCAGCTTGAAAGGTTCGTGGTCCTTGAAGTCCAGGTAAACACAAATTCTCGGGAAATCGTTCATAATTATGGTTCTGACGGTTTCGCCGAAGAAATAAAATTGTTTGCACGACTGATAAGCGTTCACAAAAGAGTCTCTCGTCAAAAGGAACAAAACAAGCGTCGCCCACGCGTCTTGTCGAAAAAATTTGTAAAAACCCAATAAATAAATAATCAGATTTGAATTACAACGCTGGAGTCAGCTGAAGGCTGAACGCGAACATGACGTAACACATGGCGAGACGAGATACAGAACATAAAACGAGAACATAAAACGTAACCGAAGTGAAATAACAAAGAAATTGTTATTGACTGTTCATTATACCCTTCTCCCTGATGTATAGAATATTTTCACCGCTTTCCCCCATTCCCGACAGAATTCTTATTCAAATACGGATTCTCGACAATAAAAGGTTGATTACATTAGAAAAATAATTTTGGACACAATTACATCACAGCATCTCAAAGATATGTTAAATTTAAAAAGGATAATATTTAATCTTTATTTAATTAAAGAATAACTACAACTTCATCTAATAATTGTCAAGTTTCATCAATTTTTAACACATTCATACTCCTTTGAATGTTCAAGACGTTTGTCATCACCTTAGCAGTAACAGTGTTTTGTTTACAGATTGCGATTGAATAAATTCATTGAACTTTCTTAATAAAAAGACAGGATGCCTTAAAAATTAATCAACCAAATCTTAAAGAATTATATATGAAATACGGATAGAAAAGACTTAAAAATATAATAAAATTAGAAAAATTGCGCCAAACCAGTCGTAATTATTCAATTCTAAATCTGTTATATTCTTCAGTCTTATATTCTCAAGTCCATATATGGGCCATGTAGCTTGAACTACTCAAGTCAACATCGATTTAACATTGTGTCGATTGTAAAACTTCATTTGTGCCACTAATTAGTAATAAAATCACTTTTTATATATTTAAAAAATTATTTTAAAGTAGAAATAAAAAACTAATGTATAAATAAAAAAATGAAACAAAATGGAAAAATTAAGAAATATCGGCAATTAGTAAGGATTATTTTAATAAAAACATTAATTATTTAATTAATTTTTGCAATAAAGCGACTTATCACAAAAAAAGTGTGCAAGTAGAAACTTGCACATTGCTTCCTCATAGTTTAGTTTGCGTATTGATATTGTTAATATTGCTCGTGGCAGTAGTTGTGCCTAAGAGAAAGACAGATAATTTGAAGACGAATAAAGATATCGTTCATATAAAAAAAATATTATTAATTACGAGGACGAGGGAAGCGGTGAGGCTGATGCGCGTTATGATTTAAACGTCTTCAGAGCCATTTACGACGCACCACCTATTGATTCTAAGATAGCTCCAATTGGCCTACAGGGTAGAGGAACCGACGAAGTTTGAGACATTTGTGGCTTCCTAAATGGTAAGAAAGAAAGCTGCGATAAAGATCTCGATACAAATCCATTCGACAATGTAAGGCATTATGCTTACGAGAGAGAAGGCAATTCAGAAGGCGACCGATATATATATATAATGCCTTACATTTTCGCTTCTAGGCTTTTTAATAATTTTTTCGGTTTTTCAGCGAGATAGGGAACTAGCCTATCGTCGCAATCCTCAACCTGCGGGACCATTCTGGACCAACTGCTTAACGTCTCTTCCGAAAGACGGCCCCCAGTTTTCTCCGCACGGGAACTGTCTTCTCGTGCGCGAGAGGGAGCAGCTTCTTTTTGGAAAATTAATTCCATGCTACATGGCTCTAGTGGACTCGAACCCGGTTCCACAGATTACGAGTCTGGCGCTCTACCACTAGACCACACTGCTCCCCAAATAAGGTAAATATACTTTTCTATTTTCTATATTCAGATTGTTTTGTAGTTGTATCAAAAATAGATGGTTAGAAAACGGACGAATACAAACAGACGCTTTAGAGTTTGCCTGTAAATATTGTATGCCAAAATATGCCTGCCCAATATTCCGCGATTTGTACGATTTAAACGAAGAAACTCATAACTTGGCCATCTCATGGTTTATGGATAATAAAAAACGTATTATTTACATTTAGTTTTTACATCGTAAATGAAGAAATTAATATATTTATTTATAAGTGGTTTTCAAGTGTTAATTATCTGTGACCGTGAGAAGATAAAAAACAAGATAGCCTTGATCAACACCCGAATTTTTTAAAGAACGTATAATTTAGTCTCATAAAATAAAAAATAGAGATTTATTTAAATAATAAGTCAGTTTAATAAAATGACTTAATGAGTCACTTAAAAGTCCCATCGAATTCTTGCAGAATTTAGTGAAATTGTTCAAGTTGGAGAACGAGCGTTAAATTGTTGGGGGAAGACGATTATGATAACATCAAAAGTCTACACTATTTTTAGTACATGTCAGCACATTTTCAACGCATTGTTGCGAGTCGTTTTTATGCAAAAGTTATTTGATAAACGTTGCATTTCGTCCCAATTCTTAGCACGCCGCAAAGTGTATTATTATATCCTTAGCTTCTGTGTTTTCATAATACGTATATAATTCTGGTTTCTGGCATAATTTAGACCAAAGAGCTAAGAAAAAAAGCAGTCGTGCAGCTCAAGGCTCATAATTTACACTAAATTGTTGTCCCAACCTCGCGGCGTTTAACACGAAAGGTACATAATCGCGTATCCCGATCGCGCCGCGATTACGAAACGCGTACTGAAACGATTACAACGGAAATTATCGTTTTCAGTGTTTTAATTTCCTGGTGGCCCACGTAGTTGCACATTGTTTCGCATTATGAAATAACTATCGCGGATAGATCCTTAATCGTCAAATCGGGATCTCGCGATTTGAGCCGCGGATGAAAGATCGCGTTAATTAATTACACGCGACGCAGGATTAGTCGTTAACGATAAATGGCTCGTGAAGATAGAAAACGAGTTTCTCGCGCGTCGCTTTCTCGTTGTAGCACATTGGAGTTAGACAGAAAGACATAAGTACGCTGGATTTTTCGCGATTTCGATCGCCATTACACGAGGAGAGATATATCAAAACGAGGAAGTTAGGCAATATCTCGATGGCAACGAATTTATAGCAGTATTAAACATATGAACGTAACATATAATTATAGAAATCAAAGAAGTTACATTATTAAGATCACTATCATCTTGCTGATAAGTTAATCTGCTTCGAATATACACTGTTGAAAACAGAGGTCCTGATGTGTGTTAAAAAAAGTCCTTGTCAACATTTTTGTGTAAAATAATCAACACATACGTGTTTAGATTTAACATATGCCTGCTATGTTAATTGAATTTTACAAATTCAAAATGTAAAATAATTAAAATAACTTAAAAAATATGTTAAAGTAACACAATTTGAACGTATTTATTAAATGTGTTAAAATTTACAGAAAAAGAATGTTGATTTTACTCTATAAAAGAAGTAGGAATAAAAATTTACAGAAATAAAGTTGATTTTATCTTACAATCTCAACTTCAACATAAAAGTTATGTTAATTGTACACATAATTAACTTCAAATTACGATCAGAATTACATTTCCTTTCTGTTGAAATATTTTAACATAATATCAGTGTTACCACTTAACACATCCATATTATGTTAAATTAACACAAAAATTTGAGTGGACCGTTTTGGACATGTGATTTATGTTATATTTAACACAAATTTTCCAACAGTGTATATATCAGATCAAAGACCAATCAAAGATTTTATATGCACGTTAACCGTTAAACATCTCGCAAAATATACATCTCGCGAGATATTCGTGCCCGATAAAAAAAAAATCGCTGTATACTCACATCGAGCCCTTGGCCACCGTCATGTTGAGATTCTGTAGGACATGGTTCGGATTCTTGCTGCTGCCGTAGATCTTGAAGGCATGCCTGACGCTGACCGCCTGCTGACGATTCCAGGTAGGATTGTTCAACCCCGGCGTCGCCAGGACGGGGTTGCTCGACGTCACCGTCGCCAGGTCCATATTGCCGTCCGCGCTGTTGCTCTGCATCGTCGTCGCGTTCGCGAGACCGGCGGCACCCGCACCTCCGTCGCTGCAAAACGAAAGCGCACGTGACGGTAACGAGAAAGTAACGGTGGAAATTACGGGCGAAATGACGCGATATCGTGTACCGCGGTGTCTTGTCACGATAGCGCGATTCAGTAAAGAATCTCTCTCTTCGTGCCGGCGTGTTGCACGGTATATACTTGCAGCGTGTCGTGTAAAATTGCAAGGCAGGACGTCGTAACATCGCAGGGCGTTAATTGCAATGTGCTCCACTAAGAGTGGAACTGTTGCATTGCCGTTTCTGTGAATAGGGGACGTGTAACAAAGATATATATATATGATTAAGTCGAAAAACCGACCATGTGAATTTCTCCTTATTTTCAGAGCTTCCTAATCTCGTTGAAAATGAAAGATAAGCGCTTATCTGAAATCTCATTGAAGTAATGAAGATGTTAACGTATATAATTAACCCCTTTACAATCCAACTTTTCTTTCTCTAAAAAAATTATATAACGTGAAACTCTAGCGAACATTTATCTTCGGGAAAACTATAAACAATTAATTTACAATTTTTAAACTTTTTATTATAAAAGAGTGGTTTACAACTTGTAACAAAATAATACGCTAATTTGTGACAAAAAATGAAATAAGATTTGAAAAATATAGATGTATGAGTGCGTGACTTTAAAGTTATATGGATTCACAGAAAATTAAATTGAAATCCAATTGATTCATTTTTGAGCGCTGGACTTCCAAATTTTATTAAAGGCAAGGAGAGACTATTTTTCGAAATTTTCTTAGGGCGTTGAAAATTTATTACACGTGTTGCGTCGAATACCGAACTATAATATCATAAAGGGACCCAAAAGCGCGACGGTCATGCGAAATTGCCGCGTGTTACGCGAAAGAAATGGCGAGAAAACGATTCTGCAAATCTCGGCGCGGATTGCGCGGCACGCGTATAGAAAGAGTCGAGCGATGGCGGTTGCGTAACCGAGCGCGCGGCTTTCTTTTCGCTTACGCGCGTGGCGATTCATTGGGCAATACGTGGACGCACGCTCGTGTGTGTGTGTGTGTGTGTAACGCGTCGTGGTTTAACGTACATACAGGTGTGTATGCGCTGTCGGGGATGCGGAATACGTAACGCGTGTGCGATGCAGCGCGGCACGCGCGCGCGGGTATAATGCCGCGCGCGAGCGTGAATTCTCTCGCGCTCCCGTTTCGCGGGCGCCGCGCGCCGTGGCCGCTTCGACTGAGCCCGGGTCCCGCGATTTCCCTTTCTCGAACGGGAATTCGAAAGGAAAGCCCGAATTCGCACATTTTACTCACGAGCTCGAAATCTGTACGCCTTCGATATAAAAGATATACCTCGCTTTAATTATACCTCGTCCGGGAAAGCGTTTCCCTTTCCCATTAAGATGTCGACAGACCTCTCCCTTTTTTCGCGACGCATTTAATTGGAAGTGGCGTTGTCTTACTACGTTTTACCATTACTATTTGTTGCGCAAATTTAAATGCACCAAGTTGAATTAGCCTGACGAAATCGATCGTCGAGCAATGTTCTGAATAGATCGTTATCTTCGGAGTAATCAAAGAAATTTTCAAACGTACTACCTATTAAAGTATTAAACGAAAAAATATTAATTGTGATAGAAGAAACATATAATTACACTGTTGAATTCGTAGTGTCAATTTAGGTTCAATTTGAGTTATATTTGAGTTTTTAATCCTTCCTGTAAGTTGCCACTGCTCCTATTCAAAATATGTCGTTAATTTAACTAAAACAATGTTAATTCAATTAAATCAATAAAATTAAAATAATACTGTTTTGTTAAAATAATAAATTTCGACATACATGGTAGTTAAAAATAACAAAATGTTATTTAACTCAAGATGTTGAATTAAATTTCATCCTTTAATATTTAACAGTGTATGATGACGAGTAGTTTTCGAAATACAGCACCCCAAAGTTGGACTTTTCATACCTTATTGCAGCGTAGTGCGGATGCAGTCAATGTCGATGTACGATGCTGCTTACGATTAAGGTGGGTGTACAGGTGTGTATGTGTGTGTTTCTTCTCTCAAGAACAATATCTTGACTATGAGCAGAAGAGATGAACAATTCACAGTATAACAATGTATTAGTACTGAAATAAAGAATCGCGGGTATATAAACTCGTAAGTACACGTTTTCAAGTCGATGCTATCGAGACCCTAAGTCGTCTACAGACGATTCCGATTCGACCGTTAGACGCCGTGCCGTCGTAGCGATGAGATTCCGAGACGACGGGCTGTGGCAAACCGGGCTCGTGCGACGACCGGTCCGACGACCGTATATATACTTACGAGGCAATGCTAATAATCCAATTAATGGGTATTACTTATTATTGTACCCAATGGGTATAAAAAGTCCAACTTTGGGGTGCTGTATCTCGAAAACTACTCGTCATCGGACTTCGGGCCTATTGACCACTTTTGTTCTATATACGTGTTGAGAACTACCACATATCAAATTTTCAGAAAAATTAGCCGAAAGCCATTTCCCATAAGGATTCTGCGGGGTCCTTTTTGCTGAGGGGAAAAAACGCGAATTTTACACTTTTCTTTTTTAATTCATAACTTTGAAACTATCCGGTAGAATTCAATTTCTCTTGCGGATTCTGAAAGAGATGTCAAATCTTAAGGAAAAAAATAGAGCGACGTAATTTTTGATCGTTATCAACAAAATCTCTAGAGGTCAAGTAAGCCGATTTTCGAGGGCTCTTTTTTCTTAAAAGTAAATGTTTTCGCGTAATTTCTCAAAAAATTAAACTAGAAACGATAAAAAAACATGACTAAACAAAATTTACCTAGCTTTGTGTGTGTGTATGTATTATACACATATTCTATAAAACATTAATATCAAAGTCATACTTATAAACCAATAAATAATTGTTAATATCGAAAGACTATAACAAAAACGTTAATATTTATTCAATACTACTTATTTAGTACCAAACTATAGCAAAAAAGGTATAATTTACTTTCGAATTTTAACCGAATCGTACATACTTGGGTCTCAGAGACCCAATACTCTTTTTACATGCATTCGCACTGTTCCGCAACTGACAATGAGCGACAACTGAAGATCTGCCTAGCGGCAAATAATAGGGGAAGGACCAAAGAGTTTTTTTTACGCCGCAGAGCCATCTTCATAATGTCAATAGCCCCGCGATGCCAGTCCCTCGAAAATTTGACCGAGTCTTTCAGACTCGGAAAAGTCCTTCCGGGGTTAATCAGCTATATGTTAAAATAACACTGAATCAAATCGCGATTATTTTTCATTTATACATGCGTATAATTTGTGTATTTATATATATATATATATATATATGTATATATTTAAGAAATAAAGAGAAGATAGGCTGGATATATGTATATACAGACACCGCGGCCTTAATATCGTTGCAACACGCGCGATTTTCTGAAGTTTTCACGCATATTTATTCGTTGGATTACCACGCATTGCGCACGTGAAGGGGAATAATGATTTAGCAACGTTTTACCGTGTGTAATTACCCGGCGAGTTGCTGCCGTCGGCATGTATGCCGTCTCGAACCGTGCAAAAAGTGTATCGCGCGTCTGCATCGCAAAAATCGCATAAAATGCATGCGCGCGGCCGCGGTTGCCCGCCGCGCGAAGAACTTCGCGCGTTATGGACAGCATGGGATTACGTCACGACTCGAACCTGGGCTGTAAGTGCTAAGAGCATTAGCATTGAATTGAAATGTAGAAAGTATTGCAAAATTTATTATTAATTGTCCGCTGTTATGATAAAACATAAAACGATCGTTGGAATAAAAAATTATTCAGATCAATTATTATATCAAAATCGATTCCGTTTATTGTCATTGATTTTCCGATCGGTCTTACGCTGCACGTTGATTAAAATAACATATTGACCGTTCTATAATTACAGTCTCATCAGGTTAATCGATTACTTGACCCTACCTTCAAGGTAACCATCCCAACACCTATGTTGACCTGCGCTAATGATTAATCTACCTTTCTGCTGCAGCGGACAATTATTTCATAAATGACTGACGTTTGCGGGCATAATGAAGGAAGAGAAGCAATTCATTATTTCTATTATGTCGTTGTTAAGTAACTCGATTGTACAATACGAAAAATACGTAAGAAAATTAACGATTGGCGAAATGCACGAAACCTATTGAAATTAATTAAAGCACGCTGCAACGTTTCGACGTCATATAATCAACGTTAACTGTGCATAGCGATTTGCGACTTCATCGGCGTGTGACGTTTGTAATCACAATTTACTTTTAGCTTCCTTGACTGTGTTGCTGAAAGAAATTATTCAACTTAATAAGATATTAATTATTGATGCAGCAGAAACACTGTTTCGTAATTCAAGTGTATTACGTTTCGTATAAATACATTATACAATAGGAATAGTGTAACATTTGAATTTAAAATAAAAACAGCAACGGATTAAATAAAATATAGTACCGCCATTGTACAAAATTTAAATTAAATAAATGTACATAAACTTTTATGTATATTTAAATATTAAATATAATATTTAAAATAATATATAATTTTATACGATTGTAATCTAACATAATATAACATAATAAAAATATTATACGAATAAATATAGTAAAAATTGTGTATACGATTATAATATAATATAAAATTTTTTGTGTATTTGACCTTATTACAGATAAAATTTAATTTGTTGTTATGCGTGAATCTAATAATTGCAGATAAATTGCCGGTATCGCTTGAGGAAATACATCGCTGCGAGCGAACGACTGATGGGTTCATCCGTCATCTATTTAGAATTTTAGATCGACACACAGCGACAATAATAACGTTTTTGCAGAGGATCTTGCGAATCTATCGTGATGCATTGCGGCAAACAGGTTACAATACCGGACACGCAGAATGCGTATTACGAGAAAGAAAAGGAAAAGGCCGGACTGTGGCCATTGCGCAACTTTTGCGACAACGTCGCCGCGTAGGAAAGAACACACGAAGACGAAA